TACACAGCAGAGAACAATCTCATTTCCACCCTAGAAGTCTGACTTTGAAAACTTTCTTTTAAAAATTCACGCATATTTCAAATTTCCCTCTATAATGTATCTATTCATTTCAGCATTCTTACGTGTTTTAAATTACTTACTATCGGGTTCAAATTGTACTCTGGGAGGGTGCACTACTTCTTAATGAGGTCAGGAAAGAAAACAGGAGCACTCCAAAAGGCCACCTGTGCCCTATTCCAGCCACGCCCCCCCAACCCAGCCACTCTCGCGACTTCTGAGAACAAAATTTGTTCTGCCCATTTTTAAATTCAAAATTCATGGAATCATACAGTATATAGGTTTTTGTATATACCTTTTATTCAACATCATGTTTACAAAATTCATCCATGTTTTGTGTATAGCTGACATTTCCTTATAATCACTGCTACAGAACAGGGGTCCCCAAAGCAGATGAGGCAAGTCCAGCCTTCTGGCTCTTTTTGTAAATTAGGTTTAGTGGTAAATACCCATTCCTGTTAATTTATATAATGTCTACACTGTTTTCAGTCTGCCTCAGAACTGAAGCTGTGACTAGTTGAGACCCTATGGACAGCAAAACCTGAAAACATTCACTAACCAGACCCTTGCAGAAGTCTGCCTAACCCTGCAGGCAGTGTGCCTTCAGGGTGGCTGTCACTTGTGAACTTGTCAGAAAAGTAAACTAAGCAGATTCTCAAACTTCCAGGTTTGCATCCACATCATCTGGAGAGCTGCTTCAACAGGCGGCCCCATCCAAGTCAGCAGGTCTGGGGATGGGGCCTGAGAATTTGCATTTCTCACCACCTCCGAAGTGATGCTAATGCTGCCGCTCCAGGACCAACTCCAAGAAGCACTGCAGTCCCAGAGCAGTGTCACTCAAACGTAAGTCATCTGGGTGTCATGTTAAAATGCGGACTTCGATTCACTGTATCCTGGGTGAGGCCTAACCTTCTGCACGTCTAGTTAAGTTCTCAGGTGCTGCAGAAGGTCGATCCATGGACCACGCAGCCCAACAGAACAGAAGTCCCCGACAAAGCTGCAGAGGTTTCTGCTGAACGGACTATACCACACGGATAACCACGATCCATCCGTTCTACTGGTGGACATCTGGCTACTTTCCAGTTTCTGACTATTACAAATCATGCTCTATAAACACTCTTAACGTGTCTTTCATGTATGCATTTGTTGGATATATATGAAGGAGAATACAAATACCTTCGACTTCAGTACATACTGTCAAACAGCTTTCCAAAATGGCCGTATGGACCTACACTTGTCAGCAGGGTGTGAAGGTTCCTGTTGTTTCAAACCCTTGCCCAACATTTGTGTTGCCGCGCCTTTAATTTTAGTCATTCTAATTAGGATGTGGTTTAATCTGCATTTCCTGACAACTACTGAGGTGGAGCACTTGTTTACACAAAAGCTAGGATAACTATGATGTCTTCTTCTGGTAAGTGCCTACTCAAATTATTTGCTCATTTTTAAAACGAGCTTTCTGTCTTTTTCTTAGTGAACTTAGCTATATAAAAGTTCTAAATGTATTCTGGACATTTGGAAGTCCTTTGCTGGTTCTGTCTTGTATACACCTTCCACGCTGCAACTTGCCTTTCCACTTCCTTAACAATGTCTTGAGGAACACCTGAAGGTATTTTACAAAAACCACCCTGACACCATCGAAAGCAATTCACTCGATCAAAAAAAAAAACCAAAAAAACAAAAAAGCAACTAACGAAGCACTAACATGTATAGTTCAACATTATTATATGAAAATAGAATGACATTCACTATCTCAAAAACAGGTTATGATGTACACAGAGGGAGACTAACTAGTCACACTTCCAGCTGACAAAAGCAGACTTCGGGATTCAACTCTGGAAGCAAAATCACCAACTCCGAGGGCCGCTTGGCTTCTGTGCATGACTGCGCACTCCAGTGCAAATATGCAAGAATCACTGGCCAGACTGGGCTCTGCCCAGGCACTGAAGGGCGGGCCCAGCAGGAGCCCAAGCTTTAAAGATGCGGCCGTGTCAAAGGGCCCACACAGACTGCCCTTAGAGGGGCCGCTTGGAGAGAATGCCAAAAGCTAACTGAAAATCCACATGCCACCAATTCTTGTAATCCCTCTGTAAAGCCTGCTTTTACATCGCCAAAAGAATAAAATAGAAGCATAAGCATAACACTTTAAAATTCTGCTTCAAACATGAGAAGACGTTTCACTGATAAAAAATATTCGCTGTTAAACTTTACCAATCATGTGAACACAGAGTATGTAATTATCCTAAAATTTTAACACCTTCCAAAATTAACTCAAAATTAAAATCTATTACTACTACCTATCTGGTGAATGCAGAATAACAAAGCATATTAAAGTCAGAGAAAATACCCTAAATTAATTATCTTTTTTGCACCAGAAAATCTGGTATATTCATCATATGTCAAGAATACTGATAACTTTTACCAGGAAATTTATATCTGAATAAATATTAACCAACACAGTCGTTTTAAATCTAACAGTTGAGAGTACTCCAAATTAATTTCAAAGTCACACTGAAATGACCCAAGCAAAATAGAATACAGACTCAAATCCAAAGTAACTACAACTATAAAACCATCTTCAGAGTCCACATCCTTTATGATAATGGCATCTACCCCTCATTTGACACTTCAAGTTTTCGACATAAAACGTAACCTGGTAAAGCTGTTTAAAGTTCAGCTGCAGCAAAGTTCTAGTACGGGAAGATGGGCGGGGATGGAGAAGGCCGTGATCAGGGACTGAAGTTCATGGCCGGCACCGTCCTGCACAGAACACTGGAACTGCAACAGTCAGCCTAACTCGAGTGGACAGCGCCTCAGGCAACTGTACTGTGGCGGCCTGAACGGGGCTTCCCAAGGCATGGTAGGAAACTGCGCCCTCGTATCCCGGAAATTAACAGCCCCCCTTCCCACCCTGAGAGCAGTCTGGGCGTGGAGGACAGAGCCAGCGCACACGGATATTCTGATACACCCTCCAAGTGCCAAACTAAACACCCATTAAAACTCTAGTCTACTGTATTTTAAAATTGTTAACACGAAAGAAAAGCAAATGCACGCAAAAATGTTATTACGAAGCGTCTAATAACTAATATTAAAGTGCCTTTTGAAAACTACCTATTTAGAAACATGAGAATGTATGAACTAGAAAAATTTTAAATCAGTTCATCTCAATGGTGTATGTCTTACAGCACTAACACCATAAAAACAATCATCAGTTTCAAGAAAAATGTTTCTTAAAATGTCTGTTCCTCTAATGCATCTCATTAAAAACTGTCAAAAGATACTTTTTGAAACATGGCTCTAATTACATCTTTCCTGCTCAAACTCCTCTCCCACTACAAGATGAAATTCAAATTTCTTAGCCTAGTACTATCAACACCCTTGGTGATACGCCTTCTTTCCCACCCTCCTTCCTATTTCATCTCTCTATGCCTGTCTCAGGCAAAACGAACTCATCGCATATAGCTATTTTCTATGTATCTATCTCCTCTTGATACTGACTTACACTGCTCTCTCTGCCTCGAAAAATCATCTATCACATTCAAAGCTTACCAATATTTTTAAAGGTCAGCTTACACACCTTTTTCTTTATGGAATTTTCCTGATTCCTGTCTAAATTCCCACACGTGTATCTCTCCCATGTCACTGAGTACCTTCTCACGTGAACTCTTATTATTATTACCCCTACATGAGAAGCTACTTATAGACTGCTGTTTACTTTTATTGCCTATACCTGACTACAAGTAGTTTAATTAAAACTGGGGAGCATTACTCCAGTAAAAGTCTTTAATTAGGTACTATGAGAGGTGAGATACAGGCATATCTTGTTTTACTGTGCTTCACAGATGCTGCGTTTTTTACAAATTGAAGGCAAGAAGACCCTCCACCAGCACCATCTCCAAGGTCTGCCTGTATTGCTGATTATCAGGTATGGGAGCCAAAACATTTACCAAGTGGTCTTTCAAACGAAATGTCTCACCATTACCTCAATATGCCAAAATGTCGGATTTTACTTCTGTTCTTTTGGGACAGTATGCTTAAGGCTGATTAAAAATACAGATGCCCTACAAGATATTTACACTTTCCAACAGTGAGACCCAAGACCACCTCTGAGCTGACAGAAAGCCCTCTGTCTACACAAGTCTAACATAACAACAGCAAGGATTTTCAAGGAGCAAATCTAACAAGCAATTTAAATTACCATTCAAGATTTTAAAATCGACTTAAAAAATTCTTCGAGATCACAAAATTTTTATAAAGAAAAACTATGAGATGTACGACAATGTTTTATACGCATAATGCTGAGAATAATCTGGCTAAATATCACTAAAGTATATGTTTCTATTTGTAACTCCTTAGTAGAATTACTATGTAGAAGAAATACGTTTCGGAAGCTGTGGAGCATAACTGCCGTTACTTTATATACTATTTCTAAGAAGGTTCATGAATTTATTGCCAAGCCCAAAGGCAATTGAAGTTGCAAGTCAGGGGGTCAGAGGCTGTCTATACACTCTGAGATGAAAGAAATGTAAAAGTTGCGAGCAAAGTAAGCAAAAGGGAAAATGAAAAGTAAACAAGAATTCACAAGGCCCAGCAGTCTGAGACTATTGGGTAAGGAGGGCCAAGCTCCTCATTAGGTCTCAGTGGCTTCCATATGTCCTAGCACGACACATTAACCCTCATGGTGTGAAATCTTAGCTAACAGGTAATTTTAGTTTGTGAAAGACTGTTTGGAAAGGCTTTTAACCAAAAGTTGTGGTTCTTTAAAGGGATAACCCTCAATTCCTATCCAAAATGTTCCCTTTCTCTTATAGAATAAAAATTCTGCTAAATCATTCCAAATCATTTTATGCCTCCTTTACTAAAGTTACGAGTATTTGTGAATTAATACGACCTTATTTTCGATGTAACAATCAATATAAAACAATAGCAACACTAGGCAACAAAGAAAAACTCCAACACTTCCTTATACTTTATTTTAAAAGTAACAAGTTAATTGCACTAAAAGTACTGGACACACTGGCATGTAATGTTTGGTACCCATAACTGAGAGGGTATGTCTGTTTTTAGGTTCTTAAAACTCAGGCACTAAATGTTTGTAAACCAAAAATTAAGAAAATTCAATGTTCACTCTAACCACTCAAAGTTATTTGTAATTTCAGGGTTTTAAACTTTGGTGGTCTCTTGATTTAACTTTAATCGAAGTCCTTGCATCAGTAAAAATGAGGGCAGACAATTCATCATTATCAAAATCACCCCGTCGCCACGACTCCTGTCAACGTCAGTAGTGTGACCGCTGAGTTGATTTAATTCTCAAAGATCCTATAAAACGACCTGGGAGGATCATAGGGATTAGTTAGCACAGCTATAAAGTGACAGGCAAAATCGGTGTGATTTCTAGTTAAATCCATATCTAACATTCATCAAACAGGTCATAAATAATCCAAATGAAATAAGAACATTATCTTAATTTGGTTGTTATACAATAAAACTGTGTATCTTTGATACAAAGTGATGCTTCTGAGCCTGCAAGATGGTGAATCTGCACCCATCTGTTCAATGTTCAAATGACCTTAATCAAGAGCAATTCTGAAAGACCAGCAATAACCGTAAAAAAAACAGTGGACAAACTGGCTCTTACAATGTGCTGCTGATGAGTAACGTCCGGCACAAACTACTAAACTCAGTTCAAAATCCCAAGTAGGCACTTTAAGTAATCTCATCTGTTTAGTACTTACTATTTCCTAGCCCCGTCACAAGTCTATTTCTGGGCTGGTCAAACATAATGAAGCATTCAGAAATGAGTATTCTCCAACAATCACCACAAATCACTAGAAACAGAAAAATGCCCGGTCAGAAAAGTGCCACTCTGGCTCCTAACAAACTCTTCCTAAAAATTCAGTGAAATGAAAGTCTGAAGGTTTTCTCTTGTGCAGAGAAATCTAAAATAGTTAATTTGGGGTGTTACCTGGAAAAAAACACTAATTTGATCCTGAGAGTTAACAACGCATTTCTACAAATTTGAAAAGGTGGTTTACATTAAATGATTTGGGACTATGGGGTCAGATTACATAGGATACACAAAATATAAATCAGTGTTCATCTTAAGACGAAGTAGCCTAAGTCAGAATTTCAAATTTCCAGAAGAAAATTTGATAATAAAAATGGTCCTCAGTTCAGATGGAATTCTTCTGCAAGATGAAGTCTCCATTTTCTTAAAACACACACAAAGTACAAGACACAACAAACTTGCCTGCATTATCTAGTTATCTAAAGGTCTCTAAGCAGACGCCCAGAAAAATCACGGTATCAGGAACACCTGGCACTAGCATTAGAACTGCATTCTTTACGTTGTTACTGATTCATCTTTTAACTCCCCGAAGAGAGCAAAATAGTAGAGAACTTGGCCTCTAGCAATCCATCACCCATCATTTCTTAGAGGACGGGCTTGAGAAGAGACAATGGAGGCTGGGAACTGACCAAACAAAAAGAAAGGATGGCAAAGGTCAGGTGAAAAAGCATTCGACAGACAAGTTTTGAGAAAACTCATTTTCAAGTCTCCAGATGTTCCGTAAGCAGGAGGGAGGGTAGTTAAAAAGAATGGATAATGCCACTCATTTTGGAGTGGGGGAGGGGCAGAAAACTAATGTTCTCCAAAAATCTAAGTTAACTTAACTCTAGCAATTACAAAACAGCAATTATCCAATGACCTGTCACAAACCTTGTGCCTAGCTCTGGCACACACACACACGCACGCACACACACACACACCGAGAAGTAGTGGTAGTGGCTGAAGGCTAAGTAGGAAATGCAACCGGGAGTGGCTCCCCTCCCCCACTCCGGCCGGCGCTTTTCCGTTTCCACTCCGGAGGCCAGCAGCGCGCACGGGGGTGGCCGGGCAGCAACCCGCCACCCGGGCTCTGGGTCTTTTCTGCAGCAAAGCGACACGCTCCTTAGCACCGGCTGTGCTCCGCCGTCCCCGCTCACCAAGTCCCCCACCGGACCGGGTTTTGCACGTCCCGGCCTTGGCACCGGGTCAGAGACGACCCGCTGCAATCACAGCCCAGCGGCCCTCGCGCCCG